CTTGAGAGGCAGAGGCAAGAAGATCATGTTTGAGGACAATCTGAACAATATAGTGAAACCACATCTCAAAATTTTTATATGTATATTGATAATAAATGCCAAGGAAAAAATAATTGAAAACTTCAGGTAGGTAGTGAAAAAGTCTGTAGTTTTAGATAGGTTAATCAAGGATGGTCTCACTGAGATAATATTTCAAGAAAGATTAAAATACTTGAGAGAGCAAGTGAGCCACATAGATATCCAGGGAGAAGAATTCCATAGAGAAGCTTTAGCAAGTGCAAAGGTTCTGAGGTTAGCTAAGAGTTTATCTAGAATGTACCATGGCACAGTAAGGAAGGAAGAAAATAGGGAATGAGACTAAAAGTTATATATGCCTTATAAATCACTGCAAGGACTCTCCTTACTTCAAGTGACATGAGAAGTCATTGGAGGATTTTTAGTGACATGATCTGACTTAAATTTTATAGGTTCATTCTGAATGCTATGTTAAGAATTGACTAAAGATAGGGGCTAGGGATGAAGCAGGGATTCCAATTAGGAAGTATTGCAGTAATCCCCAACAAATAAGGTTTAACAGTGTCAACAGTGGAAGTGAGAAATAATAAAATTTTGAATAATTTTCATTTTGATGAATATGTCAGAAGGTATTTTTAAAACTGGACTCTAGATATTATTTTAATGGAAAGAAGGCCAACATATTTTCCAGAAATGAAAAAAAAATTGTGTAACCTTGAAGTTGAGCCTATAGTATTTTAAGGATAGTGAAATCAGTTAATGTTTTTATGTTGGGGTTTGAACTACTCTTAAAGGACTAGGGCTTTTTTTTTTTAATCTGGATATTATAAATGAACCTCTAATTGTACCAGGGGAATAATTATGCCTTGATGAGTCAGGGTAGGTTTTCCAGAGAGTAAATTGCAATAATCTGAGGAGTGAGAGGAAACAGAAATATTAAAAAAACTGAACAAAATATGAAAAGTTTTAGGAATAAATGTAGCCTAATGATTAATAGCTAGACTTCCTGAGTTTAGGTCCATTTTTAAGAAGAAATAGTATATTTTTATACAATAGCTACAAACTTACAATCTTTAGGTTAGTGTGAATTTGGAATAATGCATACTGTCATCAGCAATTCTGGAAGGAAAAGAATGAGTCAGGCAGATTCTGCCAGAAATGCCTATCAAGTAAACTGATCAAATCCTAATACCTACAGAGTATTGTACGAGGCTATGCAGAAGCTGAAAAACCATGTGATCCTGCCCAAAAGGTGATAAATAACTATGGTGTATTTCTGTTCATTTTATCAGGTCCTAGAACTTAGACCACAATGACTACATGTGTACGGGTGCCTCTCATTGAACATGAAAATTGTCAGTTGAATTACAACTTTAACACCTTTTGGAATAGTTTCCCTGCTGATAGCATATCAGCTGAAAGATCTGAAAAACTCTCAGGGTCTCATTCAGGATGTCTCTCAGTGAGGGTATTCGGTTGGAATAATCATTTGACCTTTCTGAGCTCAAGTAGCATTTGACTGTAAAATAAAGAGGTTGAAATAAGATGAGTCTTGAGACAATCTGAACAGGTCTTTTCTCTCTAGAATAATATCTGCCACATAATAAAGTACTGTATTAATTTTCACAGCACATGGATTCATGGATTCTGTTTAGTCTTCTCAAAAATTTATGTCATTTTCATTTCACAGTTTCTTCAAGAAAAGTCCCATGGAGCGCACTTTGTAGCAAAATCATAGCCCAGAAATGGTTCGTGATTTACTGGGGGACACTAAAGGTGAGAAATATTCATGTCTTTCTGGGAATAGTCAGAGATCTTCCAGGAATTTGGGTACCTCTTATTTTCACTCATTTCATGTTCTGGTGTAATCTCGTTGCCTTGAAGTGGGTGGAGAGAGTAGGCATGTCTAGGCCAAGTTAACCCTATATTATAGTTTGGAGCAAAACATTTCTCAAATGATCAACACATCTACATACAAGTGCTGAGTGGAATCCGATTCAAAAGTTAAGGCAGCAATGGAGACAAAGATACCAAGAACACAAAGATACCAAGCCTTTTCACCCTATTCCAGTCACCCAAGTGACTGCAGGCTGAAGTAAAGAGTCAGTGTTTTCAGCAAAAGTGGCCTTCAAGTCCCTGAAGAGAAGCATAGGCGATGGTTATCATAACCCACACCTCAAGGGTGTGTTACCTAGAGCAAAGCTTGTGGGAGACTCTTAATGTATTGCTCAGCTGTGTGATCTCCAAAATTTAGTTTGTTATTTTTTTTAAAATTAAGAGCAGTGAAGCTAGAGGGTGTATATAGACTTTTCCTGGTTAACACATAGGGGCGGCTGAGACCCTTGAACAGTTCTGACTTCTTTTCTTCATGCAGGAAGACATGCTGCTTGGGTGACACTGGATACCAAGCAGACTCCAGCAAACACAGGTCACTGTGTTGCCTTCCTACTGAAGATGGTTTTATTAATTTCATGCAGAGTGTTTTAAGCAAAAAAGACTGCCAAGGGCTGGGGGGATGTGGTAGATGACGAGACCAGCAGCTCTAGAATCATGCTTGGAAAGTGGGCTCACAACTGGTGGCAGAGAATCGGTGAGCTTCTTGCTGCTGCCTAGGTGTGTGTGTGTGGGGGGGGGTGGGGGATCATCCAGGAGGGGACCTAGAAGGACACCAGACAGGGAGATGGAATAAACCGGCAGGGAACGGTTGTGCCAAGCAGATGTCCAGGACAGCGTTTGACCCTGAGAAAGGAGTGGCTCCTGCCAGGGCTTCTGGGATGGAGTCCAGTCAGAAGGGTCTGACGTGCTGGGCTGTGTGTGTTGTGAGGAGAAGCGGGGAAGCATGCAGTTGTGAACCTGTGGGGTAGAGGGCGGGTGGTGTGCCAGTTCACTGCAGGGGCCGGTACTAGGCTCCAGCCCAAGGGTGTAGCTGCCTGAGCTGCGCAGTGAGGCAGACTCCACGCTGAGAAACCCCAGGGAAGGGAGGTCGTGGGAACCTTGGCAGGTGTCACTCATACTGGAGAAAAGCCACAAGCAAATGCCAATGACACACACACACATTTCGAACCAGGAAGAAACTATGGCAAAGGGGTGTCCAAAATTCTCCCAGTATTAATGTTTGTCCAGGCTGCTTGTCCCGGATTAAAGTTAGGGCACTGTTTTTGAAGCCACTTTCCTCACTGGGTGAGAGGCAGGGAAGCCTTCGAAAAGTTTAAAGACAGATAAAACCATAAGCGGATAGAATTGTGGTTGCAGGGGAAGTTGTCATTAATACTATGAATGGTAACAAATGCGAAGGTTCCCAAGGCCTCTAGGCACAGAATCCCAGCATCCATGGGTGCATGGAGCTGTAAGGTGTTCTGTCAGTACTGAAAACTGCTGCAGGTGCAAAAAGAGGTCAGTTAACTAGGTGGCCAGTTAATAAGTTCTTATCATTGTTGCTTGATTCACAGTTTTCCTAGTATTTTTAATTTTTGCAGGTATAGCATATCATAATTGAGGCTTTATGTTGGGAATGTATACCTGGTAGGGTAAATATACCCTTATTCTTCTTTTTCAAAATCCTGTGTGTATATTTTGGGGATCTGGAATTGGTGAATTAGGTGTTGGATAAAATTTGTGGGTGGCCATTGACTTGGACTAGTTTCCAGAACCAAGCATGGAAAGACTAAACCAATCCAGGTAATTTGTAGGAGGCATTATAACCAATTAACCAGTTTATCTGTAACCAGTTGTCTGTATATTCACTTATATTTTTCTACAAAAGTTGTAAACATTCTACATTGTACTACAAACATTGACTGGCAGTTCTTGGTTCTGAAGACTGCCTGCTTCTTGATTCCGTAATTCTTTGTTTTGTTTTGTTTTGAATTGCTTAAATAACTTAGTCTGGATTTTTCCTTTTTTTAACCTTTATTTATTTATTTATTTATTTATTTATTTTTATGTAGTGCAGAGGATTGAACCCAGCAGCTTGCTTGTGCTAGACGAGCACTTTACTGCTGAACCCAGCCCCTGGATTTTTCCTTTTAATGGAGATAATACCTATGCAAATAGCTGTTCATATATAAAGACAACACATTCTTTGAAAATGTATTGTTTTACATTAATGTGGCTGTAAATACAAAAGATACAAGTGGGTATAAAGTGAACAGTTTCCCTTTCACTCCTAATTCTCACCTAACCAGTACCCATTATAAAGATTCCTTTCAAAAAAAAAAAACAAAAACCAATCATACATACACAAGCAAAGAGATATGCATATTATTTTCAGTTTTAAAAATAAAAGTGGTAATATTATATACAGTTCTGTGTCTTATAATTTGATCAGATTTTTTTCACCATTGTTATGATTTTGACACAGAAAAGATCTCTCTTCACCATTTGTCTATTAGGGCCATCCCTGAGTGAGGCTGAGGTACAGCAGCAGGCTGATTTTGGCTCACAGCAACATACAGAGCCAACTCTTAGGTGAACCAGGTCTGTATTTTTATTTTCTCTCTTTGGTCACAGGAAACACCCTTTAGGGTCATACATAAGGTTCAGGAAGAGCCAAGACGAGTCTGGGCCACCTATTCATGAAATTTGAATCCTCAGATCTCAAATAAACCATTTTTGCTCAAGGATGGATTGCTGTTGTATAGCAATTCGATTTTATATCTTTGAAAATGGTGGTTACTTTGTTGCCAATTTGTCTAGATTGAGGGGTGCTTAGAAAATTGATAAAGCACACTTTTTAGGGTGTCTCTGAAGGTGTTTCCAGAGAAGATTGGTCATCTCTGAATGCAGACAGTACTGTCCAATAGGCCAAGGGCCCAGATGGAACCAAAAAGCAGAAGCTCATATGAACACTTGAGTCTTCTTGAGCAGGTGCTTTATTTTGGTTGCTGCTGTTGCCTATGGATGTCAGATTCTTACCGCTGTTTAACGGTGACGAGTCCTTGTTTCCCCGAATGCTGAAGTATAACACCAGAGAAGCACACCAAGTGTAGAGCGGAAAGTGGAAGCTTTATTAAAGGACAGCAGAAAAGACTTCTTCCCAGAGGAAGAAGGGGACCCAAAAGGCGGAATCCGTGGAAGGGGGAGGTCTTCCCTTTTTAAATAGCTAAAGTCTTTTAGTTTTCCCACATTCATGTCCTTTGTTTCTCTTTATCTTGCAGTGATAGAATGCAGGTGGGAAGGCCCAAAAGGTGGGAGATGGGTGGGCTGAAGGAGTAATCTGGTCAGGAAGGGCCTGGGGTGGTTTAATACCTCCCTGCTTGCTGGGAGCTGTTTCATTAACAGTTCCTTAGGATGGGTTCTGGGTCTTGGGGACATTAACATTTCAATTTCCCCAAGTGCTGCTCTGCTTTCCTGGACTCCATTCTCAATAATGGTCTCCATTTTCTTTATCTTACTCGATATTAGACCCGATTTACCTAACTACACTACCTACCTATCTGTAAATCTAGCTTCAAGATTCTATAATTTTTTTAATGCAGGCTTGCCCTAGTGAGGTACTTCCAAGCCTTCACCCCCAAAGTGGGGCTGCATCATTGCTCCCTCTTGTTCTGAGGCTTTCTTGCTTCTTGGACTGAGCAGTTACTATTTTTCCTAATTCTCCAACCTGCAGACAGGCACTGAGACAGTTCAATCTCTGTAAGTCAATTTAAGAAATTCCCTATTATAATTACATATATTCTATTTGTTTCATTTCTCTGGAGAACCCTGAGACAGTGGATCTAACACTACCAAGCTCAAAGGTGGGTGTGACTGCATAGTAATTTGAAGTTGCAGACAGGAGTTCAGTCTCTACTAGGACCCGGTATTATGTCAGAAGCTGCTTTTCAAAGGGTGAACAATTACCTTCTACAAAAAGAATGTTCTTGCTCCAGAACTCATGTCTATTTCTTAACAGCCTCAATGACATACAATTTATATATAGTCCGTCCATCATCAGTATATAGTTGATTTTAGTAAGCTTATAGAGTTGTGCACTGTCCCAATCCAGTTTTCAGATAATCTGTCACTACAAGTAGTTCCCTTGTATCCACTTATAGTTATACTTCCACCCCTCATGTCTAGACAATCTCTATTTTCTCTACGTATATATTTTACATGTGTTGAGATTTCCTGGAAAGAAACATCAATAACAATGTTTACTTGGGGAGTCTAATTGGTGGGGAGATGGATGAATGCTTTTCTCCTCAAAGTTTTTTTTCTGCAGCCTACATATATAGCCTTTACAATTAAAAGATTTATCTACTTTGTTCTTCACCCATTATTTGTATAGTTATTCCTATCATCTAAATAAACAATATCCACCTTTTATGGTCCATCACTGTGAAACCTTCTTACTCCTCCAATAGTAATTCTGTACTTTGTGAAATCTTTCAGGGACGTACTATGACTTTCCCTATTTTATTGTATGCAAGTATTATATTTTATCATATAACCCAATGAAAAAGAAATATACAAAACATCCTTGTATACTTGTTATGGTTGGGGAAGGTGTGTAGTTTGAAGACTTTAAACCATTTTGACCCTCTGCTATATTATACATTTTTTTCTAATTATGTCATAAATCATTCTACTCTAGCCTCATTTTTTAGAGTGGTTAACTCTATCACCAGCTTTTGTCTGTCTTGCATGGTATAACACAAAATTAGATTTCCAAATAATGTCTCATCAAAAGTCAGAGCAACATCTTGTTCCTCCTCTCAACTTGTTCCAGTTTGCAAAACTCTTGATATTTTTAGAGGAATCAACAGTTAGCAGAAATATGTTTGATATTTTAGGGGACAATGACATTCAAGGATGTGGCAGTGGACTCTGCTCAGAGGATGTTGTTCACAGATACGATGCTGAAAAAAATATAGGGACTGGTCTCACTGGGTAAGTGTTATTAATAGCTCATAATCTTTCAGTTAGACTATTTGAGACATTAATTTTAAGAAGGAAAATAATAATTAGGTTTTAAAGTACTTCACTGATTTTGGTCTTTTGAGTTTAGGATCTAATTTTTTTCTACCCAGATAATAGAGGAGATAAGCAATTGCATTGTGCTGCTTCTGAAGCTTGATTCTACTACCCCTTAAACAATATGAAAAACACGGGTTCAGGCTTAATTCTGGGATAGTTTGTCAGCACAAATAACAGAGGTGTACTCTGGTAAGGAGCATAATAGCCACTAGAGATTTCCAAGTCCTAATCCCAAAACCTGGGAATCTGTTAGATTCCATGGCAAAAGGAAATTAAAGTTGTAGATGATATTACAATTATTTATTAGAGGATTTTAAAGAGATTGTCTTGGGTTTTCTGGGGGCCTTAGTTTATTCAGAAGGTCCTTAAAAGTGGGAGAGGAGAGGAGAGCTAGTCAGGGAAAGATGTTACTATGGAAGAAGAGGGCAACACTACTGGCTGTGCAAATGGAGGAAGAGTCACAGACCAAATAATCTGAGTACCTTTAGAAGTTTGGGACAGGCAAAAGAGATTCTCTTTTAGAATCTCCAAGAAAGAACACAGCCTATTGACATCTGAGTTTAGTCCAATTAAGACCCAGACTTATATCCTGAAGATCTATGATACATTTGTGTTAAGTTGCTAAATTTATGGAAATTTGTCATAGCAGTGGGGAGCTGAATAATGTTCCTCTTCCCCAAAGATACCCAGACCCCTAATCCCTAGACCCTGTGAATGATTAAAAAAAAAAAAATCCTGGAAAACTTAAAAATACATATAAAAAATCTTTGTACATATGTGATTAAGGATTTTAAGATCAGGAAATTATCTGAATTAACTGGGTGGGCTTTGCATGTAATTACAAATAATTTTGTAAGGGAATACTTATAAGAGGGTAATAAGAGGGAGATTTGACTTTCGTATTAGTTTAGAACTTTCGACAAAAAGCCAGCATCATTATTTATTGGGAATGTCTCCAGTAGTAATCATTTGGGTAGATTAAGACATGCTTCTTGGCTTAAGAAACAATTTGGGACCCTGAGCTACCCTATAGTAAATACATTTCTAGCACACATAGTAGTAAGACATTTTATTGACCTCAGAATGTCTGGAACTAATGACAGACCTAAGGCTACAATGTTTCTCCATCCTAGATCTCAGAAAGTACTTTTTTAAAAAAATGAAATATTAAGACTACATATAACTGAACAAAACCACACCCATTTCCCATTGCAATTGATAAGTTTCTCCCAATTCTAGTTGCCAAAGATATTGTCAAGGGTGAAGTAACAGTCTTTCACTGTACTCTTTCCCATTAATCCTTAGAACTATCTTCATATATCCTCAAAAGCTCCTTTTTATGTGTGTGTGACTTTCTTATAAGGACCAACAGTTTAATATTGAATATCATCAACAATATTGCTTGGCTTCTCCCTAATAGATACTTCATTAATGAATCAGATGAACATAAGTATGCTACAGATAACATTTTATGGACTAGAGAAAGATGAAGGTTACATCAAAATAATCAAAAACATATTACCATACTAGTCTTTGTATTAACTTCAAACTCTTATGGCTTAATTTTGGGAATCTGGAAAAGATCCCTCAAACAGACTTCTCTCCAATATTGTTACATCATTTAAAGAATAATCTGTGACAAATATTTTCTTATATGCGTGGGATTCCCTCTAGCAAAAATTCATGGATGCTGAATGAGTTCTCACTGACTGAAGGTTTTCTAGTATTTCTTCCTTTTCAGGATTGATCTCTAGCATGAAGTTTTTGGTGTTTAATAAGGTTTGAATGTCTGTTGAAGGTTTTCTTACAGTCCTTACATTTGAATGGTTTCTCTCCTGTATGAATCATCTGATGTCGAATAAGGGAAGAGCTTCGGTTGAAGGATTTTCCACAGTCAACACATTCATAGGAACTGTCTCCAGAATGGAGTCTTGGGTTTTTATTATTGTCTTCACTCTTACACAAGGCTTTTCCACTTTTATTGTCTTCATAAATCTTAGCATTAGTATGAATTTTTTTATGTTTTATAAGGTTTGTATTTCGGTTGAACAATCTCCCACATTCACTGCATTTATAGGGTTTCTCTCCAGTGTGAATGATCTGATGTCGAATGAGGGATGAAGTCCGGCTGAAGGCTTTTCCACATTGATAACATTCATAGGAATTCACTGTTGTGTGACTTTTGGGGGGTTGAATAATATGTGTACTTAGATTCAAGGCATTTCCACATTCATTATATTCTAAATGTTTCTTACCCACTGATTCTGAATTGGATTTGAAATTAGTTTTAAACTTGTGTTCTTTTGTGAGACCCTTTCCCATAGGAATTCCCTGTTGTATATCCCATATAGAGCTAACTGAATTAAAGCTTTTCTTATTTTCATTACATTCAGAGTCTCCCTCTTCAGTGCAGACAGTTTTATGAATAGAAGCCTGTTGCAGCAAACTTATGTTCTGATTTTTCTGGATTTCATGTAACCAATCCTCACTTTTCCAGCCTTCTAAGAAAGGATGTTCACTTTTGGTAAACCTTGTCATAATTACTCCATAGGATGATTCTTCTGTAGAAGCCCTCTGCTTTGGAACTGAATCTTGATCTTTTGAAACAGTTTCCATGTCTAAAAAGAAATATAAAATTAGATAAAAAGAAGTAAAACTGCTTAGTGAGGATAGAGAAGCTAATTCACATAATGGTATATGTATGTATTGTTGGTCTTAAATGCAGAATGTAAATAAGAGGTGAAGATACTTATAGAAGGTAGTTGAATAGAGGAGCCCAGTATTCATGTCCTCTTCCACAAAGAAAATCAAAGTTACCATGTATTTGTATTTTGAGGTGAATGACCATGGAAGAACACTGGAAATCAACAAGAGAGCTGGGATCTTGTAAGATTCAAAGACCTAGGTCAAGAACATAATAAGAGAAATTAAATACCTGGTCACATGCCATAGCTGGGGGAAAAAGTCTCCCTTTTGCAGGGTAAAGGTGCAAGAGTATCAGCAAACTTTTACCAGTGTAAATGCTTAGCAATTCCAGCTGCAATAGCAGCCTCACTTTGGATTGAATATCACCTAATCTCTCACCAAACCCTAGGTTGCTGTATCCAGGAGCCATCTTGAGAAAGGAGCTACTTTCTGAATTTGGAATGCTCTAGGGATCAGAAACCCCTACATGTTCCCTCTGGGACCCCACAGACATTCCACTTTTATCACAAATCAGCCCCAGTGATACTGCCAAATTTGACAAATATTTATCAACTCAGCCTAATTAATCTAATTTTATATCAGAAATTATCATTTGCACCACAGCCAAGCTAGAAGCTAGAGTATTAAATCAATCTATTGAATGGAGCCTAGGAATATACAATGGGATTTTAATCCATTTTTCCTGTCTCTGCCTCACCAATGTATGCTGAGTGTGTGGGGGCTGGCCACATGTCATTTTAATATACAGATCTTCAGAGAAAAGAGAGGAACCACTTTCAAACCTGTACCCAATTTAGATGATGAGATTCTGAACTTTAAGTCTGATAATAAGAAGAGGTTCTTGGGGTCTTGGTAAAGAGTACATATATTTTACAAGGGGGGAGAGTATGGATGACTTGTGGACAGGACAGACTATGATAGAACATAGCTACACATTCTTTGCCACTTTTCTCATACACAAGTAGAGACTTGATCCTGTGTCAGCTTAGCAAACAAAAGATTGCAGAAGTGATATTATGCCACCTGTTGACCTAATCTTTAAAAGACTGATAGCTTCTGATTCCTCTCAGGACATGTGTTCTCAGAGAATCTGGCCACTGTGCCAAGAGAAGCCCAAACCTCAAGGAGAAGCCATGATAGGTACTGTGTCCATCGGACCAACTATGTTCCCAGGGACAGTCAGTATCAACTTCTAATCATGTCATGTGCTATTTTGGGCATTCTGTCTCATTAGAACCCCAAGACATTGCATCCCCAGCCAACATCACATGGAACATAAAAATTCCTCAGTCAACTTAGAAAAAAATTGGGAATAAAATGATTGTTTTGGGATTATTTGTTAGAAACCACAGATAACTAAAACAGTAATTGTTGTAGCAGTATTTAATAGTATCATTCATAATTGTATTTCCCTAAATAAATCTTTGTTGTTCTCATATTTGTACAACTAATTTTTCAGGTAACTTTTTCATTCCTATTTTTTTAATGTTTATTAGTTGCCAATGATCTTTATTTTTTATTACTTTTATTTATATGTGGTGCTTAAAATCGAACCCAGGGCCTCACATATGCTAGGCAAGCACTCTACCACTGAGCCACAACCCCAGCTGCTTCCAATCCTATTTTTTAAAATTAGTCTCACGTAATAACTTTATCCTATGAAATCATCGGATAATGCTTGAAAAATTGGTACAACCTAAATATCCAACAGTGGTGGTAGGGGATGATTAAAAATATTATAACGTGTAAAGGAACGTTAAGTGTGATTCAGAAAGCACATTTTCATAGTTTATTTGGTAAAATAGGTAACTGGTCATGATATAAAAGGTGAAAAGAACAGGATATAAAATGATATATTCCTGCTGAATTTTGGAAAAAATTTGAAAACTGTTCCATATTTTAGGAATAAAAGAAATTTTCAGAAACCACAGATCTGCATCACAAAGAAATGGCTTTAAAAAATTCAAACCAACATGTTAATATTGTGTAACTCTGGGGTCTGAACTATATTCCTTTTTAATATAATCTTACAATAGTTTTACACTATTACAAAGTGTTAATAAGAAAAGATTATGATGTTGTGGGAGTTAAAGTACAAATTAAGAAGTTTTACAAAGAAGGAAAAGTGGATGATTACTAAAAGTCACTCTAGCATAAAGTTTTATTTTCTTCAAAAGGAAGGATAACATTCAATGTTAGTTGATTAATGGTTGTTTATTTAGCACTTACCATGTACCAGGCAATGTTCTAAGTGTGTTCCATGTATCAATTCATTTAATCCTCACAGTAATCTGGAGGGAGTTACTATTATTAACTTTTAAGTTACAGGTGAGAAAACCAGCACAAAGGTTGCCCCAAGCCACCCAGCTTGAAGTTGTGGTCCTACCCATGACAATATTTTGCCACACAGGAAAGAGAACCTGTGAATAAAAGGTAACGATGCTTTTTTAAGTAAAAATTTTGATTACACCCAGCTAATAATTCAAAGGCAAGTCACTATCTCTAGGTTTAATAAACCCTAGCTTCTTACAAATGTATCATATCTGCCTGGTTCTTACCACAAATGGTCCTTCTTGGGACTTCTCCCTCCATTATCCATCTTTCTTTCTTACTCTCCAATTTGGGGATCTCAACTGGTTTGGAAAGTGGATGAACTGTGCATAGGAAAAATAAAAATGACAACAACAAAAAACATATAGACACTTAACACATTTTTATAGGGAAGAAACGACAGTAGGTTAAGCTGCTGAAGGAGAAGGCCAGAAGAGCACCATGTCTGTATATTTCTGGCTGTACACAGAAAAGGACTTTCAACCACACAGAGTAGGAAAATGTGCTACTGTGCCCAAAGGATATTAGGAAACCTGAACCCAGACCCAAAGGAACATAAGGACTCTACCAGTTCGATAGCTTTTCACAGTAGAAAGAGAGATATACTAATAGAGTAAATAAATACATAGAAACCACCTTTATGCAATGAATGCAGGTTCCTATAGTTCTCCAGCATCACATCCCTGTAGAGGTTCTTTACAGCAGGGTCCAGTTGCCCCCACTCTTCCTTGGTGAACTCCACAACCACATCTTTGAATGTCAATGGTTCCTAAAACATTTAAGTTCCTTTTTAACCAAAGGTTACCCCAAAAAATATTACCACAAAAGGAATGAATTTGGAGAGAACACGGAAGAAGTCAGACTATATAAGAAATAGGACGTTTAGGGTTCTAAGTGAAGAATATGAAGTTGTAGCAAGGGTCCATCAAATATATATATATATATGGAAACAAAACATTACAGAGCACCAAGAATTTATATAAAAGTTTAGGATGGGAAGAGTTTCAGGTAGATTCAAGGGGAAATTGTAACAAAAATGTAGGCTCTGCTGAAAGAGATGGGATGTTTTCTCTAATTGAGAAATGTAATCTAATTCCTTATCATTCAGGTGTCACAGCTCAATGTCACCCTGAGAAGACTGTCTGATAACGGATTTGTCTCTACTCCATCCTGGTTTTTTGTTTTTTTTTTTTACCCTTTATTTTATTTGTTTATTTTTATGTGGTGCCAGGGATCGAACCCAGTGCCTCACACATGCTAGGTAAGCGCTCTACCACTGAGCCATAACCCTGGCCCCATTCTGTTTTTTATTCTTTGTAAAAATTATTACTATTTGAAATACTATACTAGCTTGTATTTACCTGCTACCTGTACTAGAATGTAATCTCCACAAAGTAGAGATTTTGTTTTATTTCCCAATCATATTCTCAAATATGTGTTAGCAAATAAATTTACTCGTCTCTCTAGCACTCTCAACCTTGTCATTATTGGCAACTTTAGTCACATGGAAATACATAAATCTCTTCCTTTCTCCTTCAGAGTCAGTCTGTCTACTTAATTCTGCCTAATTCTTCACCTTCTCTTCTTTCCATAACCCAACACAACCTGGCTTCTGTCCCTGTGTACATTAGTCTCTCTATGATAAGTAAACAGACACTGCTTAGGTTGTATTTTTTTTATTTTTATTTATTTATTTATATGTGGCGCTGAGAATCAAACCCAGTGCCTTACACATGCTAGACAACCGCTTTACCACTGAACCACAATCCCAGCCCCTAGGTTGTATTACTCTGACTTTTTAAAGCATTTTTTCCTTTAAATATTCTAGTACTTTGACCCTCAGTGATACCATAGTTTCCTAATTTTCTTCTGTATCTTTGCTTTCAGTATCCTTTGAGGTTTCTTCTACTCCTGTATAATAAATGACATTGCTCAGGATTCTACTCTTGGACTCCCTTCATTTTTAATTCTAAACTTTCTATTTTAGGCTCTTTTGCTTTAATTATCATTTATCTTCTTGAGGGAACAGATGCACAAAGACTATATGAGGCTAAAGAAAATATTTCCAGAGTGTATCATCAACTAAAATCAGTCCAATGTCCTGTGAAAGAATAAGAGACTAACACCCTTGGATAGAACCATGTTTGAAAAAAGTTTAAAGATAAAAAGTAAAAGCAGGTCACATTTAAAAAGAGCATATATTTCTAGCAAAGAGTGGAACCCTACTTCACCTGAGGCTTCCCTGTTAGTGAGTCAGCTTCCATGTTCTCCCTTGTGCTCCCATTCTGAAGGACACAGTTCTCGAAGGGTGTATCTGAGGAAGATGAAGGAAAATATTAGGGAGGAAGAGAAGTTTTGCCTGGGAGTAATGTTTAATGATTATAGTAGTAGTTTTAACATGTTAATCATAGAAATCATCTGAAGACCTTTGCAAATATAATTGGGCCCTACTAGCAATTAGAATCCCCAAGAGTAGAGGATAAGAGTATTGATTGTAACTTCTGAAAAATTCCAAAAGTGATTCTGATATATCATCAAGGGTTATGATCTACTAGATCAGAGCAAAGAGGACCAAGATAGTATTTTGAGACCTTATCTGTTTATACCAGATTTAAAAAAAATAGCTTTGATCCTTTCATTACTAAAACTTAACTAAGGCCTAGCTACCACAGGCTGTTAATTCCATTTGGAGCTAAAAATATTTTATTTAATTAATCACTCCTCAGCCATACTGAGGAAGATTCTATTTAAGAGTTGTTTTCTATTAAGCTGCATAGACGAGGCAGTCTGGTCACTTTGAAATACTGATTCTTTAAAGGAAACAATTTAATGAAACTAATTCTCTTCTCTAGCCCTTTGATAAGAAGTAGACTCATGGGCTACTAAAGTTTCTCCAGGATCCATGAATTATATGGCAATCCTCAACTGTCAGACTACAGAGTTTTACTGGTCTGAGATGAAGTTTTCATTGATTCAGGGTGAAATGAGAAAAAATAGAAACAATGTGGTAAGTTTGTTATAACTTTAAATTTATTCAATTTCAAGGGCTGTATTTTGATGTTAAAATTAAGTCTTAGGTAATGATAATGGATTTTAACATATTGTTGAAAAAAATAGTTGGCAATAGCAGCAATAATAATGTAATACAACCCACTATAAATTATGACCCCAACTCCTCTGAAACTGTTCAAACTAAAGTTTAAAATTCCTCCATAATTAACGATTTCACTAAATTTTCTTCAATACTTATTTTAATAGGAATTTTTTGTTGCACCACTATTGAACATTTCAACAGAAAGAACATTTCTTTCTTGAAGACTTTTTTTTAGCTCAAAAAACTAATCTTTCTTGGTTCTTTGTTTCATTATTCTTTTCTAGCCTGTTTACCTGGTTTGTGCTCTTTTTCTCAGTTCAATTTATATCTTTTTTTCTAGATAATGACTGAATAGGACCATAATACCACAATGACCTTGGAAATAATTCCTTTTCAAATATCCAGTCAGTTGCCCATGTCTTATAAGGTCCAGATATTCACAATACTGGGCACACATCTTTTAAGTTTCTTTTAATCTCTAAATACTTCTGCCCTCTTAGAAAAGTGGATTTTCTTATAGTTTCTCACAGTTTGAATTTTACTAATGACCTTAACATGTTAGGTTTAACATGGCCTCTATCCTCTGTACTTACTATAATAGGTACTTACATTTGGACTAGCTCTTAAATATTGATACTCCCTGAGGATTTGTATTTCTCCTACTTCTAGCTTAGCTCTATTTCCAAATCTTTCTGAATACTTTTTGTTGTAGCATTAACTATATACTGCTTTTAAATTGTGGATCGCCCACAGGAACCTCAAATTTAGCACATCACATAATTAAATGTATTATCCTCTCCATACACAAAATTCAACACACCACATCATTAATGCATTAACTTCTCCACACACACAAAATTCACTACTTATTTCATTCATACTAGCCAGAGCACATTAGTATGTATCAAACCTTATCCTACTCTTATATTTTACCTAGACATAATTCTTTAGGCTTAAACTCTTCTGTTTTGCTAATGTATCTGTATTCTCTAATACCTAATCTAGTACAATAATTTGTTTTCCTATTTTCAGAATCCTCAGGTTCTATAGGTCTATCCATTTCTTATAGAGAAGTTGGTATACATTTCCTATTCTAAAGGATAGAAATATTTTATGTTTTGCAGGCAATACTCTCTACTGTAATTACTCAACTCTACTATAATTACTTTTCATGCCATAGCATGAAAGCAACATAGACAAAATGTAGGAAAATGGACATGGTTATGTTCCAATAAAATTTCATTTCTAAAAATATTTGGCTCGTGGGCCATATTTTTGCCAATCCCTGCTCCACATTCTTTTATTTTGGTACCAGGGATTGAAATAAATCCACATCCCCAGCGCCCCCCTCTTTTTTTGGAGACAGGGTCTTGCTAAATTGTGTAGGGCCTTACTAAGTTGCTCAAGGCCAGCTTTGAACTTGTGATCCTCCTGCCTCAGTCTCTCAAGCCACTGGGATTACAGGTATGTACCACTGCACCTGGCTACATTTTTTTAAAGGCAAACAAAACCGTGTTACTCCCCTACCCAATCTGTGTTCTAATGATCTATTTCTATTGCTTACAGATTAAAGTTCAGGCTTACTAGTGGAGTAACAGAAAATCCTAATAGAATGATACAGAATAGATAGTTTTTCTTAATACAGGAAGGCCAATTACTCTACCTAAAATTTTCTAAATTCTCACCTTTGTCTTTGAGTATTTCAATCACATCTTCTATGAGAGTCACCACATCTTTGCTGTTCTTGGGATGCTGTAAATTTATCCAAGCCCTGACTTCTTCAGGGAGGATTGTCCGGAATTGTTCCAGCACCAAAAGTTCTAGGATTTGCTCCTTTGAATGAATCTCTGGTCTCAGCCACTGAAGACAGAGGTCCCAGAGTTTGCTCAGGGCTTCATGGGGTCCAGATACTTCTGAATACTGGAAATGTCTGAATTTTTGACGAGACTCCTCAGAGTCATATGTTTCCATAGCAGTAAGGGTTTCCTGATGCCAAGACATATCTGTTCTTAGGACCTCACTTTTTTCATGCAGAGTCAAGTTTTGGGGTTTTAAGATAGCCACCAACTTGTTAAGAGACTGAATCTTCCTAAATAGAATGCCTGCTGTAGTTCAAATCTGAGGATTCCAGTACTTTTTAGGTTTGGCTAAGCACCTGTTACTATAGGCAGTATGTTTGAATCAGGTTATATCACAGTAAGAAGAGTTCCAGGAGCTTCAGCTGTAGAAATCAGCTTCCCAAGAGACTGAAAAAAAGACAAATTTGATCCATAGATAGTAAACATTTATTAGCATGTTGTTGAAAGGTAAAATAGCATAAGTAAAAATTATTCTTAAAATTACCTAAAAAAATTATGGATTCTCTTTCATTTTTGTTTTCCTTTCTTAGAATAGGAAAATATGAGTATGTCTGTTCTCACAACTCCTATTTAATATAATACTTGAAATCTTAGCCTGAGCAATTTATCAATGGAAGAAAATAAAATGGATACAAACTCAAATTATCAGTGCAGAAGATATGGTCCTATATTTAGAAGATGCATAGAAGCTCGAGAAGACTTTTAGAGCTAGTAAAGTATCAATATATAAAAATCAACATACAAAAAAATTAATAGTTTCCTATACACTAATAATGAATTCAGTGAAAAAGAAATCTGGAAAACAATTTCATTCACAATAACCTAAAAAAATAAATACAATTCCTAAGAATAAATCTAACAAAGGAGGTGGAAGACCTCGACAATAAAAATCATAAAGTACTGAACAAAGAAACTGAAAGACCTCCCACGTTCATGGGTAGGCAAAATTAATAGTTAAAATGGCCATATCACCAAAAGTGATCTACAGATTCAATACACCCTCCATCAAAATATCAATGGCATTCTTTATAAAACTGCATGGTACTGGCATAAAAATAGACACATGTATCAATGGAACAAAAAAGGGACTCAGGAACAGATATACTCATCCGATCCTTGACAAAGGTGCCAAAAACATACATTGGAGAAAAGACAATCCTTTTAACAAATGGTGCTAGAAAAACTGGTTATCCATATGTAGAAGAATGAAACTATATCCCTATCTCTCACTTGCACAAGAGTCAACTTGAAGTGGATAAGGACGTAGGAATTAGACCAGAAACTTCACAACTGCTGGAAGAAAATGTAGGGTCAACATTCCAATATACTGGCTCAGTTAACAATTTTCTCAAAAGGACTGCTAAAGCTTAATTAGGAAATTGGATGGCACCAAATCCAAAAGCTTCTGTATAGCAAATGAAACAAGAGTATGAGGAGAATGGAAGAAAATCTTTGCAAGCTATTCTTCCAGCAGAAGTTTAACATCCATAATATATAAATAACTCAAAAAACTTAA